CATCATTGTTGTTCGGCAGGCCCAGGCTGGATTCAAACCCACCACCTTAGGTGTATGTGGCTGGCGCCTTAGCCGCTTGAGCCACAGGTGCCAAGCCAGAATGACTCTTTTGACTATGCTTCCTCGTGGTGTTCCTATGCTTTAAGACTTATCCACGTATGGCTTTCCTGGGGCTGCCCAGGATCACTTGCACAAGCTGAAAGAGCAGACATGCTCACAAGGCTCAGCATCGTGACAGTGGTGTTGACAATTACGAGCTGCAGAACCTCAAGTCTTAGTTGCCCGTTTTCCACTCACATGCCGTTTGGTTTCCGTGGTCCCCCAAACTAACTATCCTTATGTCTTTTCAGATTAGGTAAATGAGTCCATATCCCATGCCTTAGAAAGGCAATCCATGGGCTGTGCTCGTAGCATAGTGGTTGAGGTGCTGCTCACATACACCCAGGCTGGTGGGTTCGAACCCAACCTGGGCCAGCTAAACAACAATAACAACTGCAATAACAAAGTAGCTGGGCATTGTGGCAGGTGCCTGTAGTCCCAGCTACTTGGGAGGTTGAGGCAAGAGAATTTCTTGAGCCCAGGAGTTTGAGGTTGCTGTGAGCTGAGATGCCATGGCACTCTACCAAGGGCAACATAGTGAGTGAGACTGTTTCCAAAAAAAAAAAGAAAGAAAAGAAAGCAATCCAACTCAAGCCAAATCTCCCCATCTCAGTCTCAGGATATTTAGGACTGAAATTATTTTCAGAAAAGGGGTACTTGGGAAATGAGAGAACTTTTTTCTAGCTTACAAAAGTAATAAGTACTCACATAAAATTAGAGAATTCTAAAAATAAAGAAGAAAACATAAAATCCTATCAAAGTATATTACTACTTGGACATATTTTATCTATTATATTATTTTTATAGTGTTGATACTACTATGTGTTATAATTGTATGGTTTCTCTCATTTAAGAATAGTCTCCCCCACATTTAAAAAAAAAACTCCCATGATTCTGTTTTTTGAAGCCAATACAGTTTTCTGTCATAAAGATGTTATAATGTTCTTCTGATTTTAGGACCATGTAGCATAATGGTCTGAGTCTGACATGACTATTTTCTAGCTGTGTTACCCTGAGCAAATGACTTAACCTTTTTGAACATCATTTTCTCTGTGAAATTGGAATAAGACTGGTCCGTATCATGTCCATTTGGGGGCTACTATGAGATACTACATGTAAAACTGTTAGCATAGTGCTTGGCACATAGGCACTCAATAAATATTAATTATTATCTTCTTCTTCATTGTTGCAGATTATACATTGATAATTATCTTTATACATAGTTTTTTGGGCTTTTTTTTTTTTTTTTTGCCTTCAGATAATTTCTTAAGGTTATATTTCCAGAAGTGAAGTTGCTGGGCCAAAGAGAGAATAAATTTTTATTTAATATCTGCAAAGCTAAAGGAAATGCCTCATGATTTTGATTTTTCTCTTTATTTTCAAGTAAATAATGACCTCTTAGAACCTAACAGATTGGCTCAAAGAGCAAATAAACAGAGCCCGGGTCAGTTCATGAGCTGTCTTGTCTCATGCCTGCTGTATTCTGGATCACCACATGGACTCTTTACCTCAGGCATGACGAATAATACCCCTTGAATCTGTACATCTGAATCTTTTGCAAGCGCAGCCTTCTAATTACCCCCCTGTTGAGCAATTGCTAGCTTCTGCCACCAGGCACTAACTTTCAAAGTGTTTGTAGCTCTGTGACCCTGAAGCACCAAGTGATTAAGTATAGACCAGAAGAGATCTGAACACATGTGTGTGAGGCCCCAAGCCGGGAGTTGGACTCAGCTCTGCAGAGGAGACAGCCCTCATGCTGATCTCTCGTTTCCTCTCTCATCTGTAGTACCCCATGGTCGAGTTGGACTCAGCTCTGCAGAGGAGTCAGCCCTCA